TATAGTGAGTGTAAAGTTCTCTGTTACTGAGGATTAAGAGATTTCTCTTGGTAGTAAGAGAAGTACTTAGGGGATTGAATGGTTCTTAGCGTGTACCTGTCCCTCCCCAGACAAACTCTAACTTGCTGACTCACCATTTGATCTCATTCTCACACATGTCCCCTCCATGATGCCAAGGTGCTGGAGATGTTAAGGTGACACCTCTGCTAGCTTTGTATCAGCTGAGCCACTCTGAAACAAGAAATTTCTGAACCATGCAACTCTCTCTCACCAACCTGTACTGTGAAGACTCTAAAAATATTGGTATTCTTGGCTATATCAGAAGAGCCTGGTTGTTTACTGCACAGAACAGATATTCTTGGAAAGAATATCAGTAAAAAAACTTATCAGTAGGAATGCCCAATAATTCTATAAATGAGGGAATCAAAATTAAAATGTACTTTTAAAAAACGAGAGAGAATTCACCCAACAGTGAGTAGATTAATATTCCCACAAACCTTTATGGTAATAGCATTGCTCATCCCAAAGTAAAACTTTCCGAACCAAAAACCAGTTTAGTTTTTGCTGAGACTTTCCTTCTATGACCCTGTTCCATTGCAAATATGTGATAGGGTCTGCACTGAAACAGAAAGTTGACATTAATGAGTTTGTAATCACTGCTGTGATTACAAGTGGCTATTGGGGGGGGGGGGGGAGATGCTTACTTAAATTTGTATCAAACAGTGCCAAGAGAAAGGGAAACATTTAAAGAAATAAAAAAAAATCCAATGTGAATACCAAATGACTTTCTATTGCTGAGTGACTTCCCAGTAATTTTCTAGCTAAAGTTAAAGTGATGTATAAACATATGTATGTAGATGAATAGATGTGGATATCTATTTTCAAATAAGAAGCATTGTTTTTATTACTCCAAAAACATTCGATTTTACATGTAATTTGGTATAAATAACATCTCAATTGAAGAGTAGGCTAGGATGAGTTGTTATTACACACGAAACAACTGACCTGTGCTTACACTACAAGGAGATGACCTATTTCTCAATGTACCCTTGAAAAATATTTGAAACCCACATTTCTTTTATGCCAAAAAGACTATAAGTTTATAACACTGCCTTGACCTTTGAAATTCTGAATTCATCATTCACAAGCCCTGGGAGACACTTGCTTTGGCCTGAGAACCAAGTGGATATTTTGTTACATAAAAATAAAGGTGTTTGTTATGTTTGTTTGTTTGCTTGTTTGTTTGTTTTATCCAAATCTGTAAAATATTATCTATATCTACAACAGCAACTAATATAAGTGTTTGTACTCTGTCCAGCTTTTCTCCATGGAACATGCTAAGAAGTTTCATCAAGATGTCCTATTAAATATAAAAGGGGGAGTGGTCTCTTGCTATTGAACTGTAACAAAACAGAGAGACCAAAATGTCACTGAGTATGAATTCCTGATCTTATTCATCATTATTGCATAGCCTGAGTAGCTAGGAAAACAGGTTTTCAAAAAAGCCTTATGTGTTTTTACCTCAGTTTGAGGAGTGCCAGGAAGTGAAAAGAAACAAGTTGCCCAATGGTTACACCAAAGACAAGAGTACACACCCTCTAGGATTTTCTGTGTATATGACTCCATACTTTGAAACTGTGGGTCATAAATATGCATTTAAAATGTCTCCTTTAAAAAGAAATGGTGGAAGTAATGAGGGCATGTGTAAGCAGTCATTCAGTGTCTCTCAGTTTCTGGATACCTTGGTGACTGGCATATGCTCCAAGCTGGGCTCTCCTCACTGCACTCAAACACTCTCTATTGATTTTAGGGCACCCAGTGTCCTTTATTAGGGGTTTTGATGCAAAGCCACTTGATACAATCAAGCACTTTGTAAAAGATGTTTGCTGTCATAGTTGTAAATGTTAAACAAACAAGTTCCCCACCATTACAATATCTGTTTTGAACAAATAAATCCTATTAGAATTTTTTTTGTGAAAAAGATAGTCACATGTCTTCACCTGAGCACAAATCTGTTCGAACACCATTTGAGAAGTGAGATGTCATAAATATAAAAGGTAAGATTAACAAGTGTCTCCATCATATGATATATTATCAGTTTAGAAAATATCACTGTGGGATTTGATCAAAATAATGTTTGAAAATGCAATTAAACAAAATTTCTGGGCTGCAAAGCATAAAGGTACTTGCCACCAAATCTGAAAACCTGGATTCAGTCCCCAGAATCCACATGGTAGAAAGAAAGAAATAACTTCAGTAAGCTGTCCTGCGACTGCCATACCTGCACCAAAACATATACATATGTATACAGTGTTTATGCATATAAAATACATAAATAAATGCAAAAATGCAATTCATAGGTCTGGATTTCCATGTCCTAAAAATCTATTTAGGGAAATCAAATTTGTCATAGCAAATAAATGTGTGCCAAACAAAAGTATAGTTTTGCTCTGAAGTAATTAATCTGGAGTCATGTGATTTGATATGTATGATAGTGTAGAACATACACTTCTATGCAATGACCTAGAGATACTGGGTTATAAGAGTAGCATACTTGTGATTGGAAATGTATTAAGACTTTTTTCTTGGATACAATTACTCGTTTCTTATTGTGATTTCTGGAATTCTAAATGTTAGACCATAATGATGATTAAGTCAGAATTGCTTGATACTCTCAATGAATATGGATATTTTGGTCCCTGTTAGCATGGTTCAAATTCCACCAAAGAAGACTTAGTAAATAAACAGTGTATCCCCATTTAGGGAATGAAAATCATAATCATGTCTAGTCCTTCTAAACTTCAATGTGTAAACATTTCCTTAGAATTTTGCAAAAACAAAGATGCAAGGTAGAGCTGACATTCTATATGCCTAAGCAGATCTCAGGTAGTGTTGAGACTGTCATCTTCAATATTTAAATAGACCTATGAGACAAATTTGAAAGAAGGCTTAATGTTAGAATTGGAGAGGGAAGCTATTACACTCTATTCAAGGTCAAATATAAGTTGAAAGTTAACTACGTTTTATATGACACACATGCAACCTATTATACTAGCACTTCCAAGGCAGAAATCATTCATGTGGAAGGTCAACATGTAGGACAACTTGTGCTACAGGCATGCAGTAATAGTTATATAGAGGGTTTTGTATTCTATTTAAAATAAAATAAAAGGAAGCATAAGAGGTACTCTACAGTCAAATTCAAGTGTACATTAAGTTCAAAGTTCTTTTATATTTCTACCAACTCCATGGTATACTAAACTAAGAGAATCAAGAAATATGTCCAATAAAGTAGGTCCAGTATGATCCACCTACAGAGGGTGGTAAAGAAAGTGATGAGAGGAGAGAATGAATTCTGAGGTATCTGTCTGCTTGTGGGCATCTTTGAGATGTGTTGAGGATACTGGACATTTGCTACCTAGGGGGATTTAGAAAAACTAATAACAGATTAGATCGGCTGAGCACCATGCCCTTATCCACGCTTTTGAAACATCACTCAGGCTAGTATGGAGAACTGATTAAAGGAATTTGATCTTGAGCTTACTAAAAGCATTTCCCAAAGCTGAATAAATGTTTAAAAATATACATTGAAATACAACAAGAATTGAAATGTACTATAGCATTTTAATAGCACAAATGGTAGATTTTTTTAATGGTAGAATTTTTTGTCATATAAAGTATTTTGAAGTATATTAATTGATTTCACATGACTTATTTTTGTTATTAGCAGCTTTGTTTATTTATTTTCTTATCTGGTTGTTTTTCACAACTTTTGTATGTGACAGAAATTGTGGAATTCCAGGAAATATTTTCTACTTTAAGATCTCATATGGTTTAACTCTGTGTTTTACAAAAAGAAATACCTATGTAATTTTTATTTGGTCAATAATGGTTTTCTATACTATTCTTTCTGGTTCATTTTAACATACTTCAGCTACTTATGAATTAAAAGTCAAATAATGCATTAGCCATAAATAGTACATACACTGTAGGTAAGATTAAATTGATTCTAGAACTCTGAACTACAATTACACAATTATAAAAGACAAAGTTTAAGAACACCCTACTTGTTTTACTGCTATATTTTATGTGTGTTGATCAATTTAATCACATATTAAGCAAACATTTGTAAAATGGCATTCTTTACACTAGAAATAGACTGGTGAACCATCTACAGGTTTGCAAAACTGGCATTTGAATAATTGTTCTTTTCTACTTGTAATAGAATTCCTGCTCCACATTTCAAATTTTGGTTCAGAAAATGCCAAACTGGTATCTGTTAACATTGAAATTAAGTTAATAATGCGAGCAAATTATGTAAAAATTTTTCAGATATTAGCATGTGGCTAATTGCTCTTACATTTTGTTTATAATGACCTAAACTCATATAGATTTACCTTTCTCTGAATAAGAAGAGTTATCATTTTAAAAACTGTGATTGTTGTGATCATATTTTTTCCATTTGAAAAGATCCCCTTCTATATCACTGTGAATCGCAGTCACATTTACATATTTATTGCTTAATATTGGGAAACAATACAAAATAACAAGGTGACATCTGAATGAACAATATTGCTCTATCCAACCCCTTCCAGAAGCATTGAGTGATTTCTGAGGGAAAACAGAGAGGCCATTCAGGCCTTTAAAATTCCAAGATCTGTCTGCCCATAGTGAAGGGAGCAAGAACATGGTTTAAAAGGCTTACTGGAAAAACACAATGCATTTGTTGTACTCTAAGGAAACTGATAGTTACTCATTAAGCCTTTCTTCCAACTGAATATCACTTAATGCAAAGCACTTCCAATATTCCCCAAGTAAGTGATAATTCTTTATGATTTAGGTAAACTGAGAGTTAGGAAAAAAGGTGTTTTGTTATAATTGAGGAATGAAATTATTATATTAAATGTACTTTCAAGCATGAATTGTAAGTTGCCCCCATTTTGTTTGATACATACACTATTTATTTTACCTTAAATAATTTATCTCATTATATCTTCCAGATTGGAAAACATGAAGTCAAATTAGGAAGCACTGAAAGATAAATATCCAGCATATATCGCCAGTTTTGTCAAGGGAAACTAAAGTCAATCTTTTATTGTGAGTATCTTCAAAGATTCCAGCCCTGTTGAAAACTGAGTTTCTACCCCTGACTTTCTCTCCAAGGTGTCTGAGTACTGAGTACAAGGTTTAGTATACTGTTAGCATTCAAGACAGGCTCACCAAATTATTTGATGGCCAAGAGCTTTAAAATCACCAACAAATGTATGCCTGATTGTCATCCAAAGATTTTCAGTGTGAACTTTGGCTTCCAGTACAATAGTTACAACTGTAGGCCAGAACTCTAAAGTTATTCTTGCAGAGCCCAAAGAAAATAAAAGAGAGACTACAAAGATTGCTGGCCAGAAATATTGGGAGAAATGTAGCACTAATGTCAATTGTGTGGTCATCTTTTTTTTTTTTTACAAAGCTTCAATGAATGCTAGTTTATATGAGAAAGAGAAGACACTTCACATAGTTTAGGCATTGCAAGGTATTACTGATGAGAAGGCTCCAACATTCTGCAAGAGAACTTTAGAAGAGTCAAAAGTCAAGTATTTTTCAGGCAATCTGCTTTAAACTAGCATGATTAATGCAGAAGCAGGGTGCAGTATTCCTATTTGGAATGCATCAGTAGGCTTTAAGATGTTTTTCGTATGATGTATAACTGGAAAAATAAAGCCATCATTATTTTATGTGAAATGTATTAACCAATATGTTCCCATTAAATTTCCATTTAGCCCCAAATCAGCTTTATGTAAGCAAATTCTAAGTGGAGGAATTTGGAAATGATGAATAGTTAGGACCATGTAACTACAATTACATGTCTAGCCTTCCAGGACCTCAGTAATGCAATATTAGGATGGAAATATTCATTTGAGTTTCCTATTCTCCCTCATCATCAACCAGATATGCATGTTTGCATATCTTTTTTTTTTTCTATGATAGGAGAGGAAGAAACCTATTTCTAGGACAGTTTTAATTTTTCTAGATTTATATCTTATGCATTCACTACTTATTTTTCCTCCTTTCTCAATTTTCAGCATCCTTTGAGCATTTAATATTTGTCAGACAAGTTGCTATGTGCTAAAGACATCTAAATAAATTAAATGGTTGTGGGTCCCCATTGGACCATGAACTTTTCGAGACAAGCCATTGAAAACAAGTCAGCTGAATGCCACATTTGGTACATTTACAGTATTCATATGCAGTGTAAAAAGTTGGTCACTATTTTTTGGAGAAAGTGCTGTCTGTCATAGATTCAGAGACAATATCCTTGAGAACTAGATTTTAAAAGAGAAGACAGGAAATGTGATCAAGCTTCTGCAATGTATACATTATAATGCCAAATCATATATTCTTTATGTGACACAATTCTTTATCTGTAAAATGGGATAATTAACATCTTTAGAGGTACTAATATTGAATAAACTAAGACATATTAAAAAACACAACTTGACCATTATACAGCAAAAATTCAAGTTATATAAACTCTTACTATGCATTTCACTATTAAGAAGGAAAAAAAACCTGCACTCAGAAATAACACCAAGAAAAGCAAGTAATTTAGGGGCATTCATGAATATCTCTGCAAACAGGAAAGATAACAACAGTCAACATTTACTGACTAGTTTACATTGCCACACTGTTGTGCTGTAGGCCCTTGTGCCTACAAGGGCCAGTGAATAAGGACTACCCATCATTACTGGCTTGCTAAACATATGGAATCAGGCCCATTGTGGCCTGATGAGGAGGATGCACATGACTCATAAGAAGTCACTTGAAGTGGTAGAGGATGTCTCATGTGCCAAATATGCATGGATGGCTCATTACTTTTCAGATACTTAAAGAAGGGAAGCCCAGAGCGGGTGAAGAGTTTTGTCGAGACAAGTGGTACTTGTCAATGGGGGATGCAGCAAGCAGCAGATAACACAGCTTATTACTCAGAGGCAAAACTGACTGAAACCTCCAGGGTTTTTTGTTTGTTGGTTTGTATTGTTTTGTTTGTTTTTCAAGACAGGGTTTCTCTGCATTGCTTTGGAGCCTGTGGCTATGTAGAAAAGACTGGCCTCGAAATCATAGAGATCCACCTGCCTCTACCTCCAGAGTGCTGGGATTAAAGGAGTGTGCCACCAATGCCTGGTGTCTCCAGGGTTTTTACCTTTGTGATCATTTTTATGGCCCAGCTATGTCTCTAAATAAATAGTGAATTTAAAAATAATTCGGGATTGTCTAATTTCTGAGGTTCCTTTTTTTTTTTTTTTTTTTTTTTTGGTTTTTCGTGACAGGGTTTCTCTATGGCTTTGGAGGCTGTCCTGGAACTAGCTCTTTTAGACAAGGCTGGCCTCGAACTCACAGAGATCCACCTGCCTCTGCCTCCCAAGTGCTGGGATTAAAGGCATGTGCCACCAACGCCCGGCTTCTGAGGTTCCTTTTATCCACTTAGCAATACTAACTTTGAAATAGTTCTGGAACTTGGATGCAAATTTAAATAACATTTCTTTGGGGGACTTGTAACAAGGCTTCTCTGTAGCCCAAATCAGGAGGCTGCAGTGAGATCCAGAAAGAGATGATGTTAAACTCTCACTGCATACTTTAGCCCATGCTTCGGATAAAAGCAACAGCACTGTCTCATGTCCCTCTGTGGGGTGATGCTTTTGGAGATGTAGTCAGTAAGTCCAATCTCTGAAAACTGAATTTGTAACTAGTGTGCTTACCCAAACAAACTTTTAAAATATGGCTACAGATCTGTAGGTTATCAAAGATTTGTAGATAAAAGACAAAAGCATGCTGTTTAAGAAAAGCTTGTTTGCACCACAGTAGGGAAGCCATTAAAGCCCCTTGAGAAAGGAAGCAAATTAACAATTACGTTCATGGGGGGGGGGTTGTAAATTACCATAGATGCTGTTTACATATATGCTCTGTTCGCTCTCTCTCTCTCTCACACACACACACACACACAGACACACATACTCACACACACACACAGACACACACACTCACACACACAGAGGGAGAGAGACACACACAGAGAGACAGAGAGAGAGAGAGAGAGAGAGAGAGAGAGAGAGAGAGATTTTAATTGGGATGTGTCTGTAATTGAAAAATTGGAGACCAAAGAATCAATCTTGGTATTTGCTTTCTGTTCCTTTATCCCCCACTTTTTAAAAATATTTTTTAGAGCCTTCTCAGTTTCCCTTTCCTCTGTCCTAACTCTCCTGTGTACACTGCTTATTCTCTTTCAGATTTATGACCTCTTTTTTCATTAATTGTTTTACATAAATATATATGCGCCAGGATATGTATATATCCCTATATACATCCTCCATTTCCTCAGACTTACATACATCATAAGTTAATACATAAATTTGCCAGGGAGATCATCTATGTACAAACCTTAGTTAAATAGAGAACTTAATTATGAATATCTGACAACTATTGCAGCCCAGATACACAAAAGAGGCCCTCCCCAAATATGTGATAGATTTTGATGATTCCCCATGGAAGGCCTCACTATCCTTGGCGAGTGGGTGGGGGGGGGGTTGGGCAGGGTCGGTGGGAGGCATGGGAGGATGGGAGGAAGAGGGAACTGAGATTGATATGTAAAATAAGGTTTTATGTAAAATAAAAAGACAAAATAGGCAGTAAAATAAAAAAGAATAAGGAAATATATATACAAAATCTTAAAAATAATTGTATATTCGCTAATGGTAATCATTGTCATATTAATAGAATATTAGTATGATAAAATAAAAAATTATGAATATCTATAGAGACTTAGGTAGTTATTCCAAACTAATCAGACTTCATTGTCAACATCAATGTTTGTGAATTGAACTGTCCACCTCCCTAAAGGAAAAAAACCTTCTATAGGCAGAAGGTGAACCCAGGAGTCCTTAGTCAGAGGCTAAACATCCAATTGTGTTTCATGCTTTTATCCAGGGCACACCTGTTCCTAATTGCTGTCTCTATTTCTATTTATATTTTTAGCCTGGAGAAGTGCTGCAAGATTAATTACAGCAGTTAATGTTTCCATTTGAAAGGAGATGATATCCTAAGAGTACTAAATATTATTAAATCTAATGGAACTAAATTGCTTTAAACGAGACAAATAGTACAATCTAGTATCTCATTGATGCCCCCAGAAAACTGCAGCGTCTCTTGTCGAGTCACCAAGACACAGCAATGAATTTTTTCAATTCTCCAAATTACGTACAAAATGATTACATTGAGTGTCTACATTGCAGGTTCTTAATGCTACACAGCTATAAGTGACACATCAATGTCTTCGGACAAGTTGATGAGAAGTGAATTAATTACACAGCCATCTCAAATGACACCCATTTTTTAGTGCATTATGACTGCTATGATCTTACTAGTAGTTTCAGAACTAAAGCAGTTCATTCTGAGAAGGAAACTATTCATTCCTCATCACAGATTTGTATCAATGAGAACCTACTCTCCTGCCTGAATGGAGATGTGTTCCTGCTTTCTCTTCTTCCTGGGAAACAGTGACTCTTAATTACATGAGTAGGTCATTCATATGAGATGTCATATCAAACTGCAAGATATTGGAGGCTGAGGTCATCTTGCTAGGGTAATATCACTTCCTGTGTTAGCAAGAGGATCCAGCGTTCCATTCTGCTTGGTGTGATCATGTGCATCTGTAACCACATCTCTATGGTGGCACACCAGAAGATCACTGAGGTTTGCTGCTCTCCTTCCTAGCTAGACTCACTGGTATACCTTTTCTTGAAAGAACAGGGTAAGTAACAAAAAGAATGCCAGGGTAGAAGTCCTCTAGTGCTTATCCATTACTGCACACATGTCTATACACCACACACACACACACACACACACACACACACACACACACACACACACACACCACAGGTGCGTCCATCTGCCTTCTCCCTGCACACAACATAAAGTAAGGCAAAAGGGAAGACAAGGATTAAAGTGAATTTAAACATTTTAAGTAGATGTACTGTAAGGATCTGGCTTACAGGTTTATTTGCTATGTAAACTTTCACAATTGCAAAACATCTCCTTTAACTCAG